TGCCAAGCGACGAAAACCCAACCCCGATGGCAAACACCGGGGGGGGGCGCGGGGATATTTAAATGCGCGAGTGCGCCCAGGAAAGGAGCGGCCGGGGCGTGACGCAGGGGACGGTCGTTGTGGTGAGGCGGTGACACATTCTTTGTGTTTGATCACACTGCCATCTCCCCATCAACAATTTTACCCCACAAACGGCGGTTCTTGTCGTCCGCCGGTTTGTGTCGCCCCGTGCGGAGGACGCTCAGGAAAACGACACTTTCTGATTGTGCGTACTTTCACGTGCAGAACCACTAAAATAAAACGAACAGCGATGCTCGTGCTCCTACTGCTGTTCTAGCTTCGAAAGCCACAGAGGGAAATGAAAACGTGTCCAAGCATGTATGTAGCACTTCGCTTTTTAGATTATGCGAATGCGTGAAATAGGAGCGGTTGAAGGTGGCGAGTGCGGCGGTCTCCTCTACCAATGTAACTAGAGTAGTAGACCCGAAGAAGAAAAATAAAAAAAAGCACGTTTCTATTCTAGTCGACTTATACGTAATACTTTACACAATTTCATGTACACCTTTTTTCGTACCTCGCCAGTGACTGCAAACATCGTGGGTGTAAATGCACCTATGGTGCGGAATTCATACTGGAAGAAAGTGGAGTTGGGTATTTGGAATCGAGTAGATACGAAGGAATTTTTGGTAGATTAGCCTGCGTGCGATTTTCTTTTCCTTTATTGGGTAGTGTCCCGTTTCTTTGTTGAGCAATTCCTGGAGTAGTGTTGTTGTGTTATGTTCAAATATCGTTACATACATGTCTATGTGCAAAATAAGAACGCCTGTCTATAAATAATGACATAAAAATCATGTTCAAATTGCTTCTAGCGCTACCAAAATTGTACACGCATACTTTTGTAGGAGCCTGATAGCTTATAGCGATGCGAAAATCTGTGGGTAACCGCATATTTAACCGTCGAAACCGCAAGGGGGAACACTGAAAATGAAACGTGTCCCTTGCAATTAGGATAATCAATTTCTGTTCACCTTTCTCAAAAATTCCCATACACCCAGGTGACAACGAAGAATTGGGAATCAAATTCCGCTGAACCAGAAATCTGCAC